GTGTCTCCGTGCTTGGCGTGTCTCTGTGCCGTGCGGAGACACATTCTCGTGTCTCCGTGCGGGACACGTCCAACGATAGTAGTCCATGACACCAAATAAATCTCTAGTGTTCACAGTTTCACCTGCTTTAACATAACCAAAAGAACGAATCTCTTTCAGGCATTTTACCAAACAGCTCTCTCCCACTCGTATACTTATCAACCATTCTCTTCCATAATTCTATTTTCACCCATACCATCGAAAATCTTCCTAGCATCATCTAAACTACCCATCTGAATACTGGAATAAATAATGCATCAATAATGATAACAGATGATGACACTATGTTGTGATAGAAAAAAAGAATGTTAATTTCAAAACCATGTAATAGCAAGATTTCATTCAATATTCGCACTAAAACTACACATCAGATATGAAAGAAAAGGGACAACAACGCAAACCGAAAATTCTCCTGAGTGGCTCATCAATTGAATAAATTTTCCAAACAAAATCGTCATAAATAGAAAGAGAGAGAAATTAAGAAAAGTGTTTGTAAAATAAAAATCAATAAAAGCATACCTTCCTCCATTAATGCTTCAAATTGATTAATGGCTTCTTTTGGAGCGACATCCATTTTTTCTTCTTCTCGACATAATGTAAATTTTGCTGTTGAAATCATAGCAACACAAAATAAATTGCTTAGTTGGCGTGAAAATGGAAAAAAAAATAGGCGCGGGAGAAGGAAGCATGGCGGATCGATGAATGATGGGAACGGTATGGAGAAGAGTGGTTGAGGAGGAATGTATAGTTACGTGATATAATGGAGAAGGAGGACGCTGGAAATTTGACTAATTTCAGGTTTTTTTTTTTTAAAGAGAGGGATTTTTGACGACGACGGGAAATTGCGACATGTGTAAGATTTACTTTGCCTCTTTTAATATATAGTGAAAAGTGTTTAATTTCAATATTTTAATTATAGCTATTTGGGACAACATTTCGTGCTTACTATTCTAAGCAATTTCATGCATATTTTTTTAAACATTTAGCCTCAAATGCGATGTTATAATAAGCTCAAGAATGTATATATTTGTTTATAGCCAGCCAGCCGTGCCCATATTGAGTCTTCAATAGGAATACCATAACAATTTTTTTAATTTTGAAACAAACACCTGTCTTCCAGATCATTCTAACAAAACACTGTACTCTAATTTCTCAATTGAATTAAAATTAAAAAAAATATAAAAATCGCTACTAACAAATAACAATGGGGTGATGCAATTGATAGATTTAGCTCCTATTTGTTCTGCTTTTCAACCAACTAATAGAAAATTTTTGACCGTTTTATTCAAACTAATGGGCCCCATCATCACACAAAATGGTCAAAAATGTCGGCTAGGCTCACTGTGCAACGATCACAATTTTCATACAAATTAGTAAAAAATGCAGAACAAACAGGTTGTAGGATTACATTTTTACGAACACACAGAGTAGCACTAATTTAGGAAACATGAAGGATGGGGTGATGTGGAGGGGATCAGTGATAGCAAGGATTGTAGAGTTGGGAGCCTATTTTCAACTTTTTTGGTCGACGAAAAATGACGAAGAATATATATGGTTTCAAATGATGGTCATAGTGGTGATAATCGATGGGTCATTAGTAGTCCAAGGATGGTTCGCGACTTTAGACTTCTGACCTTTTTGCCCCTTGGATTCGAGTCGCTTTTCCCTTACATCTTCCTAAATGTTCGACTCTTTCAGTGATTCTGACATCAAGGAGGATGTGGTGGTGATTCTAGGGTGGGAACAAGGCTCGAATCAATAAGGGAAATTAGGTGGACGGATTTGTTGGTGGCAAGAAGGAAGATGGATAATACAATATATTTTAAAATATAAAGAATAGATAGTATAATTGGAATTATGAAAAAATGGAGTATGGGGCGTATTTATATCTTAACTATATATACACACGGTGTGGATTCACAATGTTCAATCCTTAGTTGGTCTACACCAACCTGTTTGAGACTTAAAGACGGATTGTCAACCTACTATTGCCACGTTGTCTATTTGGTACAATTGATAGATGTCAATGTGCTTGACATTGGTAAATTTTTTATCGAGTGATGTTTATTGTCAGAGACTTTTTGGCATTTGTCCTAGATTGTTCGAGGAGTAGATTTCTCGTTGTATCTAAGATCTTATAAAGGACGGATAAGCTGATGATATACGGCTCCTCCGTTGGAGGCACGCTCCATCTTTAGGGGTGTTTGGATTGAAATTGACTCCTAACCTTGAGTAACACTTTGAGAGGGTCCTCCAATGCTTTTAATTCTGAAGAGATGACGTAATTTCAAACACAGCAAAGCAAGCTTCAGGCATTTTATACATAAAGATATTAATTTTAGTTAAGGCAACGATGGCTCCAACTTCCAAATGAATAGGGTGTACATTATTCATGTCGGTATTGGAAATTACTAGAATTGGCAGGCGGCCGACCGTAGACTTTTCACATTCTCGACAAATCGAGCAGGCTCTCCATCCCTTTTCGATCCCATGAGCAAACCATAATTTCCAAAAATACACCTCGTTGACGTGTCGATTTCCCATTGGATTCCAAAATCAAAGGACGACAATCTCCCCTTGACAATTCCCATTGAACTAATACCCACGCCACCCCAACCTTCCATTTTAAAGCATTTTCGATTCATAAAAACTACATTCAAATTGTGTATCTGGTGCTTAGATGACAACGAATTGTGTAGATTCCATGGAGTTATTGGCCGTTGATTCGCCGTACGACTTGTTGTTCAAAGCGGTGTTGTTGATACCTATTTCTCATTATTTATTGGGACTTTTGTTTGTTTTGATTGTTTTTCTGTACAATTTTCTGGAAATGCATGTTCTTGGAGATCTATTCACCGGGTTCAGAGGACAGCCAGTTTCTTTGACTTTCAATTCTTCCTCTCAAGTCTACCACGATGTTATTTCAAAGTGTAAAATTCTTCATGGAAGGTATAGATGGAAAAAAAATAAACTAGAAGTTATAGTTAACTTAACAATATCACCACTATATTACTCGGTTTTCTTCACTGTTTTTATTTCATTGGTTTTATACTGTATCACTATTCAAAGAAAGTGGTTTAATTATGTTTAATTTTTATTATATTTGGGTGATTAAAAATAGGTATTTAGCCACTCCATGGCTATGCAGTCCTCATCTTCAGACTGGATTTTTACATTTTTTTGGAAGGCCACCTGTTGTCGACTATAAGAGGTGAGGTTTGATAGAATAACATTTATGCGGGCGGATTATTAACACTTTACACTCTTGAAACAAGAACAATCAGTGCGACAATTCAAATGCATTTTAATTTGTATATTGGTAGTACATTTGAATTTTGCATTTCTCAAGAGATAGCTTAGGACTAAAATACTTGCAAAGATCCATTATTACATTAAACGAAGTTTTTTGCTAGTACTGATTCTAGGCAATGTCCAGACAGCTTTTTATAACCTCGGATGGTGGGACCATAGCTCTGGATTGGCTAACGAATGCTGATGGTAAAGTGTCTTTCACCTTATTTTTCTTAATTGTGTTTTAATTCTTTAAACTTTGAACAGTATCTTAATAAACTATCGTTTAGGTGAAGTTTTGACCATAAACGGTGTTACATAACCGTGGAGAATTCATTGTATTCCATGTTGTTTCCACGACATATCTTCTATAACTTGTTTATTGACTTAACTGATATATATTGGTTATTTATGTAATATTCGTTGTTGCTGATTTTGTCCTTTTTACTTTTAGTTAAGAAACAAGCCACCCAACTAAATGATGCAGTTCAGATTGATGGTAAAGATCCAATCATGATTGTCGTTCCTGGCTTAACAAGTGATTCTGATTCTGCTGTAAGCTATCTATCTCTTTCGAACCATTCCATTTTTTTCTTCTTTGGTTGTCTTCTCTCAGTCAGTATATTGTGTTTGTTGTTAATGTAATTTCTTCCTTTTCAGATAAATAATTGTGGTCCTATCCAAAAGTTGCTACACTTCCCCATCCATCCCATCCGAGTTCACTTTTTCTTACCAGACATTAAACTTCCCCCCTGAAAGAATTAACGGAAATAAACCTTGAATAACTTAGGTGATGTTAGTGATCGATGCTGTTTTATTGGTCAAGTTCTTTGTAAAAATGGTGCCAAACTCTAGAGATAGTTGATGATACTGGTTGGAAATATCATTCCGCGTGTTTTAGAATATTGAACAAAAAGTCCTTATTGTACCTATCTATATATATGCATTCATATATGTAAGTATATCTTTTATAGTATTGCTATCATCTATGATACACCGACACGGGGAGATGTGTCTAACACGACGTTGACACGCAATTTTTACTTTTCCGACACGATTAATAGCAATAGTAAAAAGGATTTGTTCTGTTAGTTCTCACTTTTGAAGCATTCCATATAAAGTTAGTATGACAATATACTTTGTTAACTCTTTATCATGCTGACATGTGGCCAATTGCCAACTTTTTTCCAAATATCTCTCTTTTGCGATTGTTAATTGTTGGCTGTAAATGTCTATTTGACCTCTGCAACAGTGAGCTTGGAATATGATTTGGAGATGACATGAAAAAGGGATCAAAAGGAAATCTCTTGTGATATAGAAATGCATTGTGGATAACTCTCAATCTTTTTCTCCATTAATTTATTTTTGGTTGCTATAATACAGATGAACATTCATTAGTCTTGTGCAGGTCTTTGTATTTTAGAACTTTGACTATCGCCTTCTAGCTAGAAGACTTGCATCATTACTACTTTTTCTCTTTAACGTACTGTTATCTAGAACTAGTTCTTGTACAAAGATATATTTTCTTGGAGATTTGGGCATTCATGATCAGTTAAAAGAAATAATATTCTTTCATCATTTCAGTGTATTATAACCCACAATTAGTCTGACCGTTTTTCTCTTCCTAATGTGTTTTGTGTTAAACAGTATGTCAAGCATTTGGTTTTCAAGATGGCTAAGAGTGGCTGGAACGTTGTTGTGAGCAATCATCGGGGCCTTGGGGGTGTATCAATAACTGTGAGTACACTTTGCATGAATATTTCAATTGGAAATGATAGATTTGTTTCTGGCAAGGGAGGGACTAGTTTCTATTATATTTATCTATTGTGGTTAATGATAGGATTTGTTTTATATCCTTTGGGAGATATATGTCTCTCGTATCCATGTATGTCGTATCTAGTTACAGGGTCGGACCTGAGGTGAGGCAGGGGAGGAGTGCCAAAATTCTGTTTAATTGCTAGAATAATATATAAAAAGCCTTCATAACTTACTGTTTAAGTTTTCATTTTCCATTATGAAAGGTCACGAGTTCAAATCCCAATTTCCCCTCACGTCCTTTTCGTTTTTTTTTCTTTTGAGAAATTTGTGCAATCAATCCCCAACTTTAATAGCCTCTAGCAAATTCATCCCCAATCTTTAAAAATGACTTTTTAATTTTTAGACCTTTTCTCCCGTTTGCATATTTCGTCTTTTTTACACTATTTTGTCAACTTCTGCCTTAATTTCTTCACGTTTAGAACGATAAAGTTGAAAAACACTATATTTAACTCTTAACTTAGTCAATCTGAACCTAAGTGTTTCCTTCATTTGTAATCTAAAATCTAGAAAAAGAATTACTCAATCCCTTTTTACGCACAATTCTCATCAAAATATAGTTGAGTGCATGGTCATTTGCAAGAAAATTGTGTAAAACTTTCAAAGAAGGATGGTGAATTTATTTATAACTTGATTGTATATTTTCTTTTACTTATATAGCCGGAGTGGAATTTTTACATTTTGGTTACTTTAATTTGTATTTATGTGCATAGATAACTTTGATATCCATTTATATTCGGTTTGTTTAGTTTTTTTAATCAAAACTTGGATGTTTTTAAAATACAATGTTGTAAAGTTTTTGTGTGCCATATTTTATTCTATTTTATGTACCGTTTATTCAAAATTGATTACTTTTATATTATATATATTTAACAAAGTTTTAAATAAAATAAGTAATTTTATTATTTTTCTTAAGTGGCTATCTCTACCAATTCGTTAAGTGCTGCCCGCGAGGCACAAGTTAAAACGCGTGGCTCCGCCTTTGAGCATGAGCTACTAAGTTCCTAAATGTAACTTGTGGTAACTGGTAATGATCAAAATGTTGTCCAAACGATTATAATATAAGTTGCAATGTTATTTAAGTGATGATCTAGAACATTTTCAGGCATATTGTTTAATTATAATATAAATATTTTGGATATTACTTTTGTTTGTTGTTTTATTGTTGAGTTTTAGGTTAATAGATTTGGTTCCTATTAGAATCCCACATTGCTTGGGAAAATATAAATGATCCACTTTATAAGGTGAGGGCAATCCTCCCCTAATAAGCCGGTTTTATTAGGTGGAATTAGGCTCAATATTCCTAACAGTNCTTGTTGTTGGCCAACAAATTGATTTTTGTTAGAATCATTATCTGAAATAATAAAATGATTTTGTTGATACATTCGAGTAATTTAGTTACGGGCTCTGTCTAGTTATGATACCATGATAGATGTTTAATTTGAAGAAATTTATGGATCAAGTTCAAAAGAATGGGGAAGAGGGGAGACAAGAAAGGGAGCCAAGGTGAAGGGTGAAGGCCACCAAACTAACTGCATTCATGCATTTAAGGAAGGACCACCTGGTAGGAAAAAAAATAGTGCTTGTTTGATAAAACTTAAGCAAAGTTTTATGAACTTTTCGATTGGTCAAACTTTAATTTTAACCATACATTTCATGGGATCCACAACTTTGATTGACTTTTCAACTACATATTTTATCAACTTTTACTAAAAACTGATAAAACCTTTATCAAACTACCCCTCAATGCAGAAGGTTCTTGCATTGCCGAGAACACGTTCTGTTGCTTGATATTTTTAAATTTTTAGTGCATAAAAATAGCATGTAGTTTCTTATCAGTCCGTGCTGCTATATTTTACATCTAAATATGTAATGATTAAATGTATTCATGCCACCAGTCCGATTGCCTCTACAATGCCGGATGGACAGAGGATGTACGTAAAGTGATTGACCACCTTCACTGTCAATACCCTGAAGCTCCTCTGTTTGCTGTTGGGACAAGTATTGGTGCTAATATTCTGGTACAAGGATTCCTCAGCTGTTTTTATTTCTTTCATGGGATTAAACGCACTTATTTAAACAAGCAGCATTTTTTTTTAATTGTTATACTTATCTGTTAAATGTTATTCTCTTCCATAATAAAAATGTAAAGATATATTTTTTAACCAAAGCAAATCACAGATAGGGGATAAATTATGGTAAGGAAGATTTCAGGAGTTGGACATGTTTTGCGTTGAATAAATGAGTCCCTTGTTCATAGGAGTGAGCATATCTGAGTAGAACAAGGTTATAAGATCTAGGGATAGATCAAAACTGACATGGTTTGTTGTGACTCTTAAGTGTCTATTTGCATTGGATTTTCTAGCGAGCTAGCAATGAACCAAATAGAGTAGGTACAAAAGATTCATGTAGCCCACCTCAAATTATTGTGAACAGAGCTTAGTTTGTTGTTGTATTGAAGTAAAGCCAATTGTTTGCATAGTAGGGATTTCTTGTACAAGGAAGATTATCAGTTGTACATCACGGCTTGACGTTTTAGACTTGCTAAATACTTTTGAACTTCGGAAATAGAACGCTCTGGATGTAGAATTAGTGCTAACTAGTAGGATTTCACTCTATGCCTCTAGCAAATAGGCTTGCAGGATATGTCATGTCCAACCTACAAGGCCCTTGTTTCTAATTGTTTCCGCTTAGGTTCATCTGTGTGTTGTTGAAATACTTGGACTCTGTGGGTACTTATGTATTAGTTGCCACTTTCTTGGATTGAACCTGATCCACCTTCGTAGCATTCTCAATCGACCCACATAATTGGGAACCTAAATCTGTTGTAACTTTTTTGTTCCTTCATGTATTACTAATTATTCCATCTTAATTTCTTCAGCACTGATGCTCAGCTGTAAATTTCTGAATATAATATTGGCTCAAAATAGGAATTAAAGATTCTTTTTTTTTCTTTGAGAATTCTTGTGATCTTATCATAAGGGTATTCCAAGATGAGAAATGCAGAATATTCATTCCTCAGATATTCTTCTACATGTAGTTGCTCATCTTTTCTATAAGCATTTGTCTCAATCCCACATTCTATTGAACATTTCGTTCAATGAAGTCTTAAGTACACATGTTGAAGCTTTAATGAAGTTGTATATCACTCATTTCACATTTCGTGATTTTGTTCATGGGATTGAATTATCAGGTTAAATATCTTGGTGAGGATGGAAGTAATGTCCCTCTTATTGGGGCTGCAGCTATCTGTTCTCCTTGGGACCTTTCGGTTAGTAGCTCTTAATTTTTTCCCTGATGCTTCTTTAAATTGTACCAAAGAAATTGATTTCTGATGCACGTTAATTTATGTTTCATCATTTTCCTTTTATTCCCTACTTACAAATTTGCCATACTAGTCAATCAGTTGTGGCTCTATATTCGTATCTTTTCCAGGATGCTTCAATTCATCGCTATATTTGTTTTTCTTCTTCTTTCCTTAGACAAGTTCCTCGGTTTCATCATTTTGAATCTTTGGTTGTGTTGAAATCGGGATAGTTAACTACACCCTAATCCTAAGAGGCGCACAATTTTTTTGTATGTAAAATTACTGGAAGGAGTTGTTAACATTTGATGGTTAAGAAAGAATGTGAAATTATCAAATTATAGACGTAGCATATTGCTAAAATTTCCTTATTTTTGGTTCTCCTGTTTTCACATTACAAATTTGTCCTGTTCACCTATTTAAATGTGAATTTACTTTATACTCTACTCCAAGCCTCCATTTGGTAAATTTATAAATGGTTTATAAATAGGAAAACTAGTGGATCCCACGAAATGCGTGGATAATAATGAGTAGTAGTTATAAATGTGTGGTTGAAATTAATGTTTGACTATGACTTTGACTGAATTTTAAACAAATTTATAAATTGTATCCAAACAAAGGTTAAGTATTTTCTTGGATTGATTGCTTACAGTGGATTTTATCCTTTCTTGTTCTGTACTTATTATGCGTAACTCAGTGTGGGAGAAATATTTGATGCTTTCGATGGCTTCCTATCAGTTTTGTCGTAGAATGCACCATTTAGCTGCTCTGAATTGAAATCTACTTTCTTTATTGTTTCCAGATATGTGACCGGTTTATTAACCGTAGACTTGTGCAGAAATTTTATGACAAAGCTCTAACTTTTGGCTTAAAAGGTTATGCGGATTTGTAGGTCACCTCTTCTTGCTAAGTGTTTTATATTTACTTACCTATTCTGTCATCAGAAGTCTTACATATTTAGCAGCTTGAAAAGTTGTAGCATTTCAATAATATTCTGCATTTTCCTCAGTTCAGTCATCAGGTATCAACCTTAATTTATATTCAACATCTTTCAATGATTAAATCTAAATTTTTGTAGGCACCATTCTGTCCTTTCTCGTCTTGCAGATTGGGAAGGCATTAAAAAGGTCATCCCTGTTACTATCGATATCTCTTACGAGTCAAGACTGTTCCTCTTTTAATAGACTAGAAAAATTCATATATCACAATACATGAAATTCTAAAATTATAGTTGATACCCAAATTTCAAATCTTGTGTGCTAAGCATGTTTGGGAAGTGTTCATAAACAGTTTAAATTATAATGAGTGGTGAATAAGTGGATATTGCTTGTGGGTCTCTTAAAATGTGTGGATAAAAAGTGGCTTAAACATTTATAAATAATTTATTACCATGCTGTTTAGTTAACTTAATTAGCTTGATGCACTGGATTGCATTAAGCGACTTGACGTTTTGGGGGTAGGGGGAGGATGTTACAGAAAAAAGGGATTTAATAGAAATTTAAACAAACATTATTGTCCTTGGACTTTAAGTGGACATTATTATGATAAAAGAATAGGCAATGGAGATACAACATGCAAAATGAACTAAGGCATTAGGTGGTCTTTGAGGAAGATAGTATAGACCAATGATCTTAGTCCTGCGAATGAATGTAGGAAGAAAAATACAAGACCACACTTTGCCAACACTGAATTAATTACTTGATCTATTTCATAAAACCTATTTCTTTTTGTTTCGTTGTCGCCTTGTAATTTGAATTATGGTCATTACCAAATTCACAGGTACTTATCATCTCGAAAGTTCAGAAAACATTCTATTATAAAGAAACAATGACCAGTCAAATATGTCACTATGAAGAAACTGATCATAGCCTTACCCCCAACCATCCACTCTATATTTCTAATGGGATAGAGGGAAAATTCTGCGTCAAGTATGAACTTTACTTGTCATGCATTTAATTTTGTAAGAACTTCTGTATATATTGTTGCTGATATATCATTTGTGTTGAAGTGAATAAAGATATATTTAGATATTGACGGTTATATTGACATCACTTTTTGATATGATACAGTCACGTTCTGTCCGGGACTTTGACAATTATGCTACTCGTATTGTTGGTAAATATGAGGTAACAATTTTGGATTCGCTTCTTCTTTTTGCTGATGCTTAATCATTTAATATATTTGTTCTTTTTCCCAGACAGTGGATACATATTACAGGCGATGTAGCAGTTCTAGTTATGTAGGAAATGTGATGGTCCCCCTTCTCTGCATCAGTACTATAGATGACCCAGTATGTACGAGTGAAGCAATTCCATGGGATGAGTGTCGGTATGTAGTCTGTGTTGTTCTTTTTTAGTGACACCTGCGAATTTTCATTTTTATTCCTAGTAAGATTTAGAAAAAAAAAAAAAAAAGACGGATATTAGCAGTTTACTGTTGAAGAAGGTAATTAAGGACAAAAAATTGATAGGTGAGATTAACAAATGTATCTAGATCCAACTTCCAAGTGATTGGGTCAAGCCACCTGTCTGGTTGTGCATTTATTATTATTAATTATTATTTTTTAAAGTTAAATTTAACTTACACTCATTTAAAGTTGGTCTAGCTTATGGGTCATATTTGTTGGAAGAAAAGCAAGGACAACTAGATGGCATGTTATCAAGAAGAAGGAATAATATGAATAAAATTTTCAACACTTAAAAATCTCTTGATTATATATAATTTTGTTGGGAAAGTGTTTTGAGATGAAACAAATGGAATAGTAGACAAGAAATGAGGAATATCATTGTAAGCAAGATTTATTGCTACCTGAAAAAAAAATATATGGAGTTTATGATTAGAGTAATTAGCACATAACGTCCTCACCTTTGACTGCTATTTCCACCTTTCATTGCGCAAAAGGTTCTTTTCATTCATTTTCTCAATTAAAAATCATAAAATGACTATTATACCCTTCTCTTTAAATAAAACAAAAGGAAAAAGAAAATTTTAATTGCAATTATAGTCTCAAATTTTTTTAAAGAGCGCAAATGAGTCCCCAAATAAATTATTAAAATGATAATTAACACATAATGTCCCTATCTTTCCCTATTAGTGCAAAAAAGTCCATACTTTTTTTTTTTTTTGATATTTTCACCTTTAATTACACAAACCATCATTTCTATCTATTTTTATCAAATTTCTCAAAAAAAAAAAAAACACCGTGAAATGACAAATATACCCTCTTATTGAAATAAAAAGCTAAACAATTAACAATTTTTTAAAAAATTGCAAACGAGTTNTTTTTTAAAAATTGCAAACGAGTTCCCAATAAATGAATAAAAATATAATTTTTGTAAAAAAAAAAAAGTGCAAACGAGTCCCAATTAAATTTATTTAAAATTTTTAAAAAATTTAAAAAATTAAAAAGTGAAAACGAGTCCCAAATAAATTATTAAAGAATTAGAAATTAAAGAAATTATTTAAATAAGAGGGTATATTCATTATTTCACTGTTCTTTATTGAGAAATTGGATGAAAATGATGGTTTGCACAATCAAATGTGCAATTAAGGGTGAAAATGTCAAAAAAATGAAAGGTATGGACTTTTTCGCAACATTGGTGATAGGTATGGATATTATGTACGAATTACTATTTTAATAATTTATTGGGTCTGATTTGCGCTTTTTAAAAAAATTGGGACTGGTTGCAACTAGTTTTTTCTTTTATTTAAAGAGAATGGTGTATTCGTTATTTCACAATTTTTAATTGAGAAAAAAAATGAAAATGACATTTTGCGTAATGAAAGGTGAAAATAAGGGTGAAAATGTCAAAAAATGAAAGGTATAGACGTTTTTCACAATAACAATGAAAGGTAGGGACGTTATGTGCTAATTACCCTTTATGATTAACATAGTGTATATATATATGTGTGTGTGTGTGTGTGTGTGTAAAGAAATTGACAATTAGGGTGTGTTTGAGCCACATTATTTTAGAAGAATATATTTTGGAATAGTAGATTGATTGAGAATGTGTGGTTGAAAAAGAAGGAAAAGTTATTAATGTGATGGAAAATATTATTTTATTGATGAATGTTTGGTTGAAAATGAGTAGAAGAACGAGAATGGAAATTTTAATGTAGATCAAACAGGGGCTTAGTTGCAAAAATGAAAAGAAGCAAATAAGCATGAGTTTTCTATAGATTCAAATGGAAATACAGTTGAACCATACATTCTGTACCCACTTTGTTATCATGATGCTATATTGAATAAAAGATGTTGTGATCTCTAACATTGTCCTTGCATTTACTTATCTAGATAGACTAGACAAAACAATTCTTGAATTTATGATAAAACACTTGGCTACTGACCTGTATGATCTTTTTTCCTGTCCTGATATGGACATGAAATATACTTTTACTTATGATAACTAATTTATCGGCCATATTTGTAGGTTGAATAATAATATTGTTTTGGCCACAACACAGCATGGAGGACACCTAGGATTTTTTGAAGGGATAACTGCAAAAAGTGTCTGGTAAGACCTGTTTGCTCTTCGAAGTAATTGGCATTTTAAATGATTTCAGTGTTCAGAAAGTTTTATATACTTGCCTATATATATAGTTTTTGCAGAAAAATATTTGTGAAAGGTACTGAATATTTCTAGTTTCTTAGCTATTCCCGAGTTTCATTTTGTATGAATGAAGGAAATGCGTTCCTTTGGTGGAAGTATTGATTGGTAGTACGTGCATAACATACATTACAATTGCTTATTTTATAATGTGCTTCCACGCCTCTGTGTTAATGTTACAGTGTGTAACAAGCTGCAGTTCTCGTGACTTTCTTTGCTCAAGAAGCCTGTGTTCTTGCCAGTAATTTTCCTCTGTCACTTGTAGGTGGGTAAGAGCAGTTGATGAATTTTTTGGTGCTCTGCAGTCTAGCCCATTGTATCACAGGAAAAAGGAGGTTTGGAAACATTAATTGATTTTAAATATATCATGAATCAGAAGCTCTATAGTTTTTTTTTTGGACACGGACTCGTGTACATACTGATATCATTATATGGTCAAAATCGTGAAATATTATGGTTTCTCGAACACAGATCATCCTGATAGGAAAGAAAAATGAGGTCATGCAGGAAATTTGAGTGTCCCTGCATGTGATTATTATAAAGTAACCAGTATAAAACAATGCAACGAAATAAATAACTTGTATATAAGAAATGTTTGCATATGTGAGGTACAAATTTGAAGTGCTGACATTTCATACATTTTTACAAAAAGGGAAGTTCTTAATGTAGTAACTCGTTAAAATTGATGCAATAACCATCCGATTGGTATTACACATTTTCTTTGGCCTATTGGCACTTTATTGTGAATCTCAATATTTAGGTACAGTTTGTTGTTCTTTCTTATTAAGACAACAGGGGATGTACTTCTTACAGACTTGTTTTACAAAGAGTGGATATCTACCATGCAGTTTAATGTATCGTATGGCTTGTTTCCGTGCTAAGCAGATTGCAGTTCCCCTGATCAATCCTCAAGAGTCTTTGATTGATCAAGCTCCGTATCTGAATGTTGAGGAAGACGGGCTGGTGACTGCAGTACGAAGTGAACCAATAGCCGATGTAGGAGTTAAACATGAGGAGGATATTAAGCAAAACAAGTCTGAAGGTGACATTCCACATGCAGAGGAAATTGATCACAGAACTAGAGAGAAAGAAGATGAGAAAATTGAGCTTGTTGGCTCCTCTGATATCAGCGAACACAAAGCCAGTGGCATAACCGTTCCTGTCAAAAAATGCTTAAACCAGATTTCGCGCCAGAACAGGAAATCACTGTGGCTGCTTGCTTACATTGCAATCATTACCACTTGGCCAGTTGTGGGTTCAGCCCTGCTATTGTTCTTAAAGAAGAAGTTTCAGAATTTTGTCTCCGGACCATCACTTAGAAGATAGATGAACAATACGATACTGTGAATCGTGCTTGTATCTTTTACAATGTATGGTGTAGTAGCTACCAGCAAAGATAAACTCCTGTTTATTTATGAAAAGATACAAGGGAATCAAAGGAAGGCTATATGATACACGAATTTGTTCATGAAATGAACCGAAACAATTTAGGGCTTGTTCTTTTTACCATTTTCAAGTCGTTTTCTATTTTCGATTTTCCAAAACAGTAAAAACGTGTTTTCTTTTCTATTTTTGAAAAAGCAGTTAAAAATTTACCAAAAAAGCTCAAAACGACAAATTTGTCGTTTTGGGTGTTTTCAATTATAATGAAGCCAAAATTTTCAAAATGTGCTTTGGGTGTTTTCAAAACAATTTTTTAAAATGTCAAAAAGAACACATTTTCAACAATCTTAAAATGGACACTCAAAAACACAAAATTCAAAATGAATTCAAAACTCAAAATACAAAACTAAAACACAAAGAGAACAACCACTTAGCTTTACTACTATGGTAATCTAGAAATCGATACTCTCTTCTGGTGAACTGTTCTTGATACTAAGCATTCAGGTAACTATGCATTTATTAGAATCAGATTTGCTCCATGTATCATTTTTCTATTTGTTTTTGCCTGAGCTTTGACTGGTCGACTAACAGGTTGCCGATTTGAACATCACAGCCTTCTTATGAAGCCGGAAAAAGTTAACCGTCCCTTTTTCTGATGAGCCAATATGGTGAATAATTTCATTATTATTTGACCATTAGCCGTAAATATTGGTGTTACAAAATGAAGTATAGGTAGAAGATTGTAAATTTCACATTTTAGATTAAAAAATAAAAATATAGCTTCTTCACCATCATCCTATGGACCTCAATCTCACGACGAACTCAGTGACAGCCAGTAGTGGCCAAAAAATAGTCTAAGTGACCTTCTACTCAATTCCATTCGATCTCATTCTTACTAATTTCAAAATTGTCACAGCAGCGACAAAGGAATCTGTTAAGAGAGCCTACGATTTTAGTATATTAGAACTAATGTTACAATGAAAAATCACACATCGTGGTAATGTTTGATGTCTCCTGTTGCCAATGACTAAGGTACACAAACCTGAACAGTACAAGTCCTATCTTCCCGTGCTTGGAAAGAGAAGTGAATCAGAGGACATATTCCAGAAAATGACGACAATTGATGACACGGGGGATGACGTATCTGAGATATAAGATAACTTAGGATCTAATTAGCTCGACTCATCTTGATTTTGGGCATGGCCTTCTTCATTTGGCGGGAACGCTCTTTAGCCTCTTTCTTGCGAAGAGCTTCAGCACTTAGCTTTGCCTCGGCCTCTTCCAACTTCTTTCTCTGCTCAGCCTTCTTTTTCTGCAAGGCTTCGTTCCTGGCATTCTGAAGTTCCTTTTGAATCTCTTGAGCAATCTTTAATCTGGCTGCTTCTGTTTTAGATCGAGCCTGAGGTACACAAGTCAAAGTTTAAAAAATCATGAATGATATTAAAATGCTGAAATGGTGTGTGGGTATATAGTTGTACTCACGAGTGAGCTGAGCTTATATCGACCAATTAGGTCAATGTAATAGGGGACAAGAGCAACCAATCGAGTCATGTCAGCCATGTGATTAGCATTGGGGAGAGCAAACTTAAACACCAGCATCTTCTTATTTAAGCCCATGTATTTATCAGAAAAATGCATAGAGATGAAACCCTTTCCAAATTTCTCAAATGCCTTGTCGCTAAAGACCTGCACAAGTACAAGGAAAAATTATATACTACATGATCGCAGGGCACAAACACAAAGTTATTTTTTTCAGAAAACAGTAAATTAAGAGCATGTTTGGCTATTGTTTATAATATATTTACAAACAGTTAAAATACGTTTTTATCCACACATTTCATAGAACCTAAAAGTATTGCCCACTTATCTGCCAATCATTTTTATCTATCTATAAATTAAACCGACTATAAACAACTACCAATCATGCATTTAATTGAACCCTGAGAAAGGTAGTGAAAACAATGACACACGTCTGGAGTTGCTGAGTCCCAAACACGAGAACATTATTATGCAAATATGTGGTGCATTAGTTAAGAAAATGGCAGTCATTCCCACAAGCGAATTGCAATTCCATGCGACCCCCTCAAGATTGCAACTCTATCAGCAAATTATTTTTCACATCAGCTGAATACTTGAAGAGGGATAAGTCATAGCTGCCAGAAATCATACAGTTTGACCAGATTCCTATAGATTGGTGCAATTGTTTCTGTTCTACAGATACTGCTTTGGGTTAATTCTATTAAATTCATTTTGCATCCTTCTAGACAGAGATAATATAGTCACTTCTCTCAATTCCTTTAAGATGCATCCTCCAATTTTGGATCTTCTTATTCCGCTCTATAATAACAAGGTTGAACTCCTCAGGGAAACCACAAAGAAAGAAAATCCTTTTTAATTAATTTGATTCATATAATTTTAGGTCAATTATTACCTCAAAATTGAGATACAAAAACCAAAACCGAAGTGGTCACTGATCTCTTGCAACAAGGTACCTACTTTTTGTGCACATTTTTATAGTCCTTGCTCAAAAAGACTAACCTAATTAATTCGATCTACTTTATTCAAGTCCGTCTTAATTCTCACCAATAAACAATCTGCAAACCATACCAAAGATTCATACCTACAGTCTTGCTTCTCTGCAGGTTAATCAAAATCTAGGACAACCAATTATCTTCTATATTCCAAAATCATATGATAGAGACATGAATCCAACCCCGAAAGGAAAAATGAGGAAGAAATAAAGAATATTAAATTTTGTATGCCACCTGGCACATTAAGGTTTTTCCCCCAAAAACAATCACTTTCAAGCCTTCAACTTCCCTTACTCCAACAATAACACATGCAGTTCCTGCTAAACTTCAAAGCAGTATAGGTTCCCTGCACAAATGCCACATCAACAGCACTAGAGACAATTCTTAAAGACCGTAACTCAAGCCTATTAACGTGTATGCCACTTTTACTTCAAACTTGTCATAACATAGCCAAACAAACAACTCAAAAGGATAAGATACACACATATACATACCCAACCAAACGCCTTGTAGTCTTCTCCTTGCTTATTTAATCATTCAAATTCCAATATCCCGTTTCTCTAATGTACTATAGTTTCGTATCCAGCTAGTTTTAAAATATAATTTCCAAGATCCAACCTAATATACTTAAATGGTAAAGGCATATCCACACATATATTAAGCAGAAAACCTAAAACAAGCAATCAAAATCAACATCCAACCATTCTAAAGCACAAGGATAAAAATACACACATTATAATATCAAAACCGGACCAATGCATACCTGATCAAGCACGGCATCAGTGATCAAATCACCGGCAACCTCCTTGGATTCTGAGACCACCTGCAACTCCTCGGCCACCCACTTCCTCCCATTTGGAGGTGCCACTAGACCTGCAAAACGCTGCAAGTCACCAGCCTCCTTCTGCATTGTTTTTGCCAATTTCTTCCTAGCTAATGCAAAAACCACCTGATCCATAGCGTCATCGTTCATGTACACCTCAAATGTAATCTCATCCTTACACGGCACCACCATGTTGTACAACCTTGAAATCAAATCATGCCTGCTCTTCAGCTCCATAGTTGCTAGCACTCCCGAGCAAAACCTCCTTCCGCTTGCATAGAACTTAAAAACATTCTGCCCCTCCTTCAACAACAGTGGAGAGTCCTCAGTCTCGCCCACGCCCAACAAGCTAAAGTTCTTATCGAAAATAGAATCTTTGGTGGCAAACTTGCTCGCCCAAGCCAACGCCAAATTCTCATTCTCTTTCTTCCCTGTAAAATAATTGATCGTAAACATAATCAAGAACGAAACACATACAATCTCCACATAATACGACGTCAGCTTCCTCGGAACCTCAACTTCCGGTACTTCCGATTTCTGTGAACTCAACTCAGATTCCGATCCAGTGGCAGATCCCGTAATTTCTGGAGTTTCTGGGGTTGAATGTTGAGGAACCCCCTCGAATTCATCCTCATCCCAGTAATCAAAAGCTGTAGAAGCAGACTTCGAGCTCGGATTCGGATCCGATGACGGCGATTTAATTATGGGATCCGAATCGGAATCAGGAGGACCGTGGTGGGACTCGGAAGTGGGTTGTGAAAGAGAGATGGGGGGAGGAGGAGTTGACCGACGAGGAGGAACAACTGCATCGTTTGATTCATCGAGGACAAAATCTTCATCTTCATCGGCGTCGAAGCCTTCGAAGTGGGATTGGGCGGTTGTTGTGGGGGAGGCGGAGAGGCGGTGAACGAGGAGGGAGAAGAGGGAGAGAAGGGCAATTAGGTATAAAAGATTGTCACCTCTTGGGAGGAAGAGAGAGAGTGGAGAGATGAGGAGAGATGGAGAAGAAGAAGATCGTTTCGCCATTGTTGAATTCTTGGTTGATTGATTGTTGCGTGGAAGTGTTTCAGTAATCAGTATTGGGGGCGAAGCCTCCAAAGTATCGTGAAAATAGAGAATGGGAAAATTTCCATAGAAGCCCCCCATCTTCAATTTATTTCACCTTGACCTCTACATTTACTTTTGTCATTCGGTTTATGTTTGCGCATTAGATATATAATGTGTGGTTGACGAAGTATGTGTACGATGTGACGTGTAATATTTTTTGAGATTAAAAGATAATAATATTCAAATTGTTATGTAAATAGAATAATGTTTTAGATATATCAATTTTCAACATCTTATGTCGCATTTGCATTTTTTGTTGTCAGCTTCTACATTCATTTGATTGTGAAATAACATATTAGTTGTGCTGATTTACAATCTAGTTATACTAGCACGCTCATTTTATTATAGTAAATTTTCTTATAAGGCCGATACCATATTCTTATTCTACCCATGTTGTGGCGGTGAACAAATTACAATCATTCGATTCCGTTATGTGCTTTTCTTTCCATCTGAACTCTAGTTACATTTTGGAAAGTAAGTGGCCCATTCTATCATTTCATTCGATTTAGCGACTAAAGTGGACAGAGGACGAATTGCGCTAATTAGTTGGAAGGTTGCGATGAATGGTGCCAACAAGATTGGTTGAGGGCATCTCTTAGCCACTTTTGAAATGATATTGCAGCCCACCATTTACTTGCTATTTAGCCACTATTTCATTTGGACAAAAAATAGATTTTGATATAAATATATTGTTAAATAGTTTATAAAAATCGTGAATCCCAAAAAAATATATGAATGAAAACGAGTTTTAAAAAAAATTAAGAAATGAGAACAAAACAAGAACTTAATTTTAAATTGGATTTCCTCGGTTGATTCTAACTTGAATGTCTTGGTAATAAAATCTCGATCTCACTGTTAAAAAGAAAAGATAGAGGGAGTAAGCCACTGTTTTATTTGAATTAAAATTCAATTAAAATCTCGAGTTAAAGTTAACAATGGAATCCATAGACCACAATATTCAACCACACATTTCATCAATTTTTATCAAAATTTACTAAAAATTTGATTTTAATCTTTACCGAATGGGGGCTAAAATATAATAGAATGGGACCCAGGTAATATTGTTGTGAATGCATTGGGACCACAGCTGCAAATTTCCCAATGACAAGGAAAAAATTAATTTTATCCAAACGCGCCTTCTAACAAAAGTTCAGTTAGAACTTAGGAAGTAAATATTTTTAAAGTTTTCTCCTCTCCATGATTCAACCCCCAGTCCGAGAAGAGTCTTCTCCGATCGTCTATCTCTCTCTGCGATAAAAGATTTCTGAGAGTAAAGACAAAAACCCAACGTCGTTTCCGAGCTGTGTCTTTATCATTTCCAGCTTATAATTCCCTCAAATTAAACTTTGCTTCCACCGCCGACAATTGTAGATCTTCCATTTAACAATATTGAATTTCTTTTTTGAATTTAAGATCCCCTAGACCCGGTAGATTTTTTTGGGATCGAAGTTAAAACTTGCCTAAGACGAGGAAGGAACTCAATTGTTTAACCCTATTAGTGTGCAATAAGATTGCGATAGGTGGAATTTTTTTTTTTTTGGTTTTTTATTTTTGTTTTGTGTACTGAATAAATGGCGGCATCGGAGGTGGGTGTCGTGGTTGATGTGGCATCGGGTTCGTACAAGGGGATGTCTTCTGATAACATAAAAGGATTAGTGATGGCTTTGTCTTCCAGTGTTTTTATTGGCGCCAGCTTCATTGTTAAGAAAAAGGGATTAAAGAAAGCAGGAGCTTCTGGCGTCAGGGCTGGTAATTTGTGTCTTCACGCTTCATTTTTAGCTATATTCTATATTTCTATGTGCATTTTGACTTCAATTTTGGAAATGTTGACTGTTGAAGATGCGTATTTTTGTATATTTATATTATATTTGGAGATGCAAATTGGATTTTGTTCTGCAAATGAAGTAGTTGTATGGATATCGCAGAAACGGTACTGCTGCAATTGTACCGTGAGTGCAATAAACTGTTGAGATCTTGAGTCAATTTCTTGGAAAGTTAGCGGCCTAAGGACATTTTAATGCTTCCTCATTACTGGAGATAATTGCTAAAGCTATGGTCCCTAAGAAGGAATGCTCTCTTTCTCAAGTTAACTTCATTAGCTTTAAGAACTTTGGATAGGGATCATTTCACTACTCCTTGTTTTCTTTCCTCCTTAACTTCGAGAATATGTTGAAAAGTTGACATAATAATCATAATCGCCTCGCTCAAGCAGATAATTGAATACTGCGTGGGTCGTAATGTAGCTTCAGGTGGATTTCAAAGTCACAAGTGCTATTCGGTAAACAAGTAGGATTTCATCTAATTGTTTAATCATAGAATTTTTACATGTTAGACATGTTTCTAATCACAGAGAAATATAAAAAAAACAAGGGATACCCAAAAAATTCCAGCTCTAATGTGGCAATCTGCCGGTTGTTGCTTTGAATGCTTCAGTCAAAATTTCTCAATTACCAAAGCAATCCATAACTGCCATATTAATTGGTGAGAAGTTACTAAACAATTACTTTCACCACTGACTTATGTATGCACGATTGAAAGTTGAAACACATACCTAAGAAACTGTAAGGACATGTAATGCTTAGCTTAGAAATGCTTAGCTTAGAATGATAAATTTATATTAGAAGCTCGTATAATAGTGTGCTCAGGGTGGCTTATAAGTGAACATATAAGGATGAGAGAGAAAAGGAATGCGAATTGTGAGAGCATACCTTTTCTCTCTCATGCCTTTAAGTTTGCTTTAAGACGTGCTTAATTTTTTCATTGACTCACATGACTTTTGTGATTTATTTATATGCTCTTCCGAACCTGTCGTGGGATATCTTCTTGATTAGTTCTTCTTTTGGTTATTTGGCTTCCTCAGGATTTCTTTTTGGAATCTATCCATTAATTTACTTTGTTTTTGTTTCTACAGGAATTGGAGGGTATTCATATCTATATGAACCACTATGGTGGGTGGGTATGATAACAAGTGAGTTATTTTTTCTATTTTTACACTTTATGGGAAGTATTTTGATTAAATCGCCATTATTTCACCCACTTGAACACATTTTAAACAAGAAAAGAATCTATTATCCATAGAGGTAATCATAGATGACTTCTTCTTGGTTTCTCATTTTCTGCTTACTGGAACCAAAAGGAAAACCGAACGTGTTTGCCTGCTTGATCTAATTTATGGATAATGTCATATAACATACACCAATTTGTTCCCCAACTCATTCTTGCAACTTGAAGGACAGATCCATTGTTCACTAACTCACTCTCCATCTCATAAATAGGATTAATTTTCATTATGTTCTCATCATGCTCATGTTCAGTTCTCCTTCTTATTGATACCTTCCATTTTCAGTTCACAATGTTTTCTCTCTTTCGTTCTTCTTTAACATATTACATACAGAATTATGGCATAAAGTTTTTAGTTCCCTTGTATTGCAGTACAAGTTTCTTTTGGTGTAATTTTACTGAAACTGAATCCCCTCTTGGTCATTTGCTGCTGCAACAGTGATTGTTGGAGAAATTGCAAATTTTGCAGCTTATGCATTTGCACCAGCCATTCTGGTTACCCCTCTTGGTGCACTCAGCATTATTATCAGGCATGATATTATGTTGCAGATCTTAACAAAATATGATACCTTGTTTTAGCCTTTTAGGTACTGATCAATGTGAGTTTGTTGCAGCGCTGTCCTTGCACACATTATTCTACGGGAGAAGCTACACATTTTTGGTGTTCTTGGTTGTGCTTTATGTGTTGTCGGTTCCACCACTATTGTTCTCCATGCTCCACAAGAGCGTGAAATTGAATCAGTGAAAGAAGTATGGGACCTTGCTACTGAGCCAGGTGACTTGGTTTTGCATATCTTATTTGCTATGTGCTTCTCTTGTTTCACATTTTATCTACCGAGCTTAACAACTGCATCTCTCCTGCAGCTTTTCTCTTTTATGCAACTCTGGTGATAGCAATTTCTCTCATTCTAATACTTCACTATATCCCACAGTATGGCCAAACTCATATAATGGTTTACATTGGTGTTTGCTCGTTAGTTGGTTCATTATCGGTAGGTTGTGTTATTTTTTATAAGATTTCTTCCTAGTTCAATCCGCACCACCGCCACCACCCACAAAAAAAAAGCAATCTGGTCGTGGTTCTCTATGGCTTTTAAAATCACTGGAATATCCTTGGCAGGTCATGAGTGTCAAAGCACTTGGAATCGCGTTGAAGCTGACACTATCAGGAATGAATCAGCTAATATATCCACAGACATGGGTCTTTGCTTTGGTTGTCATTTCTTGCGTGCTTACCCAAATGAATTATTTGAATAAGGTGAAGAATATTTTTCTTTGTGAACAATTTCTTTCTTTACTTGTTGATGCGTAATGAGCTTATAACTCGCAACTTTTATGTTTTGGGAAAAGCATAACATATGGCCAACATAATATTAAAATAACTTAGGTCAGTAAGCTAAGTGGCAGTTGTGGCCATTGTATACACTATTTAGGATTTTAGTTCCTTGATTTTCCACCAGTTGGGTTCAAACATCTTATTGTCATATCCAACCTTTTAAAAAATATAATTTCATAGGATGTCCGAACACTTGAGGATCAAACCTAGCATAGCTTCAATCTGACATGGCAAGGTATTTAGATTGAGGGTAGAGAATCGATACACACTTGACAATTATATCCATTTCCCTCTTTTTCTTTAGGCTTCAATTGCATAAATTTTGATTAGTATTGATGTAGCATTATATTGTTTTAGATGGTTTTCTGTTCATGTCCTTTTCAATTCTTATATTTGGTGAATTTTGAATGCAGGCTCTTGACACATTCAACACAGCTGTAGTTTCACCCATTTACTATGTTATGTTCACTTCTTTAACAATATTGGCAAGTGTGATCATGTTCAAGGTAATCGTTCTGCTGATCCTTTTTTTTTTCCTTTTACTTGGATGGGTTCCATGAGAAAAGAATTTGGAAAAACAAAGTGCACTCAATTTTCACAAGATTGCTTTGGCCTCTAAAACATTTGTTGTCAATTGTTAAAAAAAAAAAAGAAGAAGAAAGGCTCAAACATATATAAAGTAGGTTGACATTTCGAACTCTTCAATTATGTGTTGGCAAAAACAAAGTGATTCTGATATTGGAAAACAGCCATCCCCTTCCTTCAGGTACTTATTTGTGTATGTGTGTTTGGGTATGGGAAATGGAGAAATACAAAAACATCGGCCAATAACATCACCATTGCATTGTTGTCTGTATGTGAAGTACCGGTCCCTTGTGATTCCTTGGCATAATTCACTACCTTGTATGTTGTTATTTTCTGAACTTACCACTATTTCACTGCACTTCACCTGGATGTTGGTTATTTAGGTTTGCTTGTGACTTGCATCTTGTATAATTTAAAATTCAGTCCAGTTGCTAGCTATATGTCGAGGTAATGTTTACTTCTTACCTATAAAAAGCTAAGAGTTGTGAAATTTCAAAGGTCTTAATTAAGATTGACAATGTTCTTTTGCTTATATGGACAGGACTGGGACAGGCAGAATCCGACCCAGATTGTTACAGAAATGTGTGGATTTGTGACCATTCTTTCTGGAACTTTTCTTCTTCACAAAACAAAAGATATGGTTGATGGTAAGTGATGTACTCTTTCTTGTGGGCTTTATAGTTGTAGATTGTTCCCCGCCCCATGACATGCCTTGGTGAATATTTTGATTCACTCTGAATAAGGTTATGTTTCGCTTCGCTGAAATGCTACAAAGGTGGACTAATTTTTCAGCAAGAAGAGAAAATGAAGCAGCAAAGCAAAAAATAAACTTATTTTTTAAGAAGCAGCAAAGCAAAAAATGATCTAATCTAAGTCCATCGAAACACGCGAAAGTCTAAAACAAACATATTTACTTCTAAATAAACTTTTTAAGATTAACCTAACATGCTCTACTCGTAATTTGTTCTAAATATTGAATTGACTTTTTGTGATGACAATTGTAATTTAGGTCCCACGACTATGGCTGTGCGACATCCGAAGCATGTTGATGAGGAAAATGGTTTTGGTGAAGAAGGTATCCCTCTAAGGCGTCAGGATAGCTTAAGAGCGCCTTAATGTTTTCTTTTTCGACTATTTTTGCGTAGTTGACATCCCAAAGTCGTCGTTATCGGGGAGGGGAAGAGACCACACGAATGTGATATTGTATTACATACCTAATCAATAGCCAACACGCCTGGAAGGAAATAATGAGTTTTTTCGTTTTTATACCCTTTCCCAAGTCTGTAACTCTGTTATTCTCAACCCCCACCCCCTCAACCCAAAAAAAAAAAAAAAATTGTTTCCAGGAAAAAGAAAAGAAACCCTTCTCACTTTAAATAGGAAAGCATTCTTAGAAATTATTTTTTATTTTTTATTTTTTTATCGCATTTCGAAATTTCGTGTCACAAATTGTGTGGCATGTATAGGGGTGGATTCTGTTTGAGTGGTGTTTGGATGTGTCGATTAGGTAGTCTGCTGATGTATTGCGACCGCTTCGAGGAATAGTGTAATATTATGTTTTAGTTCGATAGCTCTACACAGTACACAGCATCATAGGTAAATATGAGGTGGGCAAAATGGACTTACAGTAAACTTAGTCCATGTTTGAGCCACATTCTCATTTTCATTATTATTTTTCTACTCATTTTCAATCACATATTTTTCAATAAAATAATATTTTTCATAACATCAATATTTTTTTCTTCTTTTTTAACCACATATTCACTATCAGATCATAAAAAAATGCATTCTTTCCATTTTAATGTGTATCAAACACTCTGAAAATGTTTTATGATGAAATGAAAAGAAAATAAAAGTTCACTACTAGGCAAAGGCTTGTCTGTCCATCAAACACAAATTAATGTTTGTCGTTTATTTCGGTGAAATTGTACTTGATTGACATTGCAATAGAAGTATAGTTATGTATAAAATTTATCCAAAAGACGTTATCATTAATTGTTTAGCTTATTTGGCCTAAAATATAAGAATTATTTCAGATGTACATTAGTGTTTATATTAAGGATGACATTCTTCCCTGTGTGTCAAAATTTGACCAGTGATGTAAAAATGTGTTTAAAAAATCAAAGGCTACAACGAGTGTCATTTGAAAGAATGTCAAAAAAAATGTACATATAGTATGATTGAAACTGATGGTTTCAAAATGAGTTGGTCTGTTCAGGTTTCAGACAACTAATTCGAATAAAAATAAAAGAAAAAATTAGATTGAAATTAGCCTAATCTAATTTTGGTCAGTTCAGTCCAATGTCCCATGGGGACTTGTCAGCTGGCCTGGTTATTTAAAATAAATAAAATGTTGAGAGTAAAATTAAATGGCAATTTACACAAATAGGAAAAAATACACCACATTTTTTATAAATACATTACATTTTAATTACAATAAACGTCATTAACATTTATTCGTTTTCATAATTATATATTTAACTTTTTTCTTCATTATATTCTTTTTTTTTTTTTTTGATTTTATAGATCAAACAATTTTGTCATTAATTATATTTTCGTCCAAAAATATCGTTAATATCTTTTAAAATGAGGATCAAATATATAAATTCATTTTTCACATCATTATTTGTTTTACTAATTTAAAAATACATATGACAAATGATTTTTTTTACTCTATCTTAAAACAAAAAAATTAGAAAGAAAACATAATCAGGAACAATTAATATTAATTTGAGAATAAGAAAGAAACGAAAAAAATTTGAGACGTGTAAAGTTTGTGAACTAATTAAAATATAATTTAATTATTAAAAACTGTGTCGTGAATATATTTAGTCATAATACAATAAGATAAAGACTAGAAAATGAAGAGCTTGATTTCTACTTTTTCACTTGCCTGTTACAATCTACATTTTATATTGATATTGAGGAATTATAACACATTAGCTTATCATTGACCGGAATTAAATCGTATTGATCTTTTTTTTTTTCATGATGCAATTGGAAATTAAAATAAAATAAAATATATGATCTCGATTTTTTAGATGGAGTTCATCAATTTATGATGTTTAATTGATTTTTTATTGAATTGTTATAGCATTTTTTTGTTATTGTTGTTGTTGTTGAATTCTCCAATTTATATCTACAATCTTCTACAATGATAATAAATTTGAATGCTATGGTTCAATTGATTCGATAATCACTCGACCATTATTAAAAGATTGAGTTTAAGGCGCTAGATTCATTCTACCGTTTTTTAGTCGTTTTTATTCGTTGTGTGTTTTGAATTTGGTGCCTTTTGAATATATTTTGGCACCATTTCGTACACATTTTCTGAGGGCTATATATAGATGATCTTATTTCTTGTAAAGAGGTTGAAAAAACATAACAAATATAAAATTCATTCCAAAATGAAAAGAAGCAACTTCTTTCTTTTTCTATATTCATATTTCCCTCCTTGTGCTCTCGAATTTGGGTAGAAATACGTAGTGCTTTGGTATTTCTACAATAAGGCTTGATTAATCCTCCAAATCATTTGCTGGAAGACCTTTAAGTACCAAAATTGTATCGGAGATGGGCAAATATCATTTGAGAACAACGTTTATAGTGTTTGAGCCTTTTATGTCATTAAAGTTTTTGATTACTTGCATTGGTTACTTTCAAATCTTTGTGTGGAAGATCAAAGTCTACAAAAGGAGAGACTACAATATGTGTATAAGTTTATCATCTTCTTTTAGTTATTTCCATTGTTAAATTTAAAGTTTCATCATGATTTTGTTCATTTTGTTGCTGGTCATAATTGTTGATTTCTTCTCCATTTCCTCTCTTAGTGAAAATATTCCCAACAATCTTAAACGATAATTGTGTGATGGAGAATGGAATTACCAAGACTTAACGAAGTGATGAAATCCTGTAAAATTAAATTAATTAATACATTGTCTTCTCAACTATTTTGGTAAGTTGAATTCTAATTTCAATTTCATGATTATAAATATGATACGTATTGATATGAATATAATATGCATATTATTGATATGATATCTTCAACATCTTTAATATGGATTTTTGTTTATTGTGCACATATATTTTTGTTTGTTGAAATTGAGATACGTATATAGAGTGTCATGTATTTGAATCTATGTATTATAGAGCATATATGATATCTAATGATGAAAATATGTTGATGAAGATCTTGTGTACATATTGAATTATATTTACAATAAGAATCATGATATTGCATGAATAAATTTATATCATTCTTTTGATGTATCATGAATACGGTAAAATGTTCTATTGTAATATTTGAACTAGAAAAATCATGTTTCATCAATTAATTGAAAAATGCGTTAAAATAATATTTATGTTCATGTGTATTGTAGTGATTAAATGCACACGATAGATAGTGACTCTATAACATGGTATATACGTATTGAAGTACATTCGTGAATTTTATTCAATAGTTTTATGAGAAATAATTGAATGTTTTGAATTANTATATGGTGAATTGATAGTCATGATTTGACAAGACATTATACCATTCTGTGAAATATCAAAAGATTGATAAATTGCATATGTTTTGAAAAATTGCAATTCATGTGAATTAAGATACTTAGCACTCTTCATTGTACTGCACTATAATGCGTGAAACCAATTAAATTTGGTTTATGATTTAAAAGTTTTATTGGTATATGAGAAGACCTTGATCGATTTGTGATCAAATTAAATGTAATTGATATACAGTATATTGTGTGCAATTGAAATATATTGTGGATTGACGAAGTACTTAAACTTTTTCGAAGCATTTGATATAGACATTATTTATTTAATATTGAATTGAACTATGAAAGAGTTGATAAACTTTAAGTTCAAATATAACCCAAAATGTGAGGGTTAACATTAATATTTGCGAACTTATATGAGAAAGATCAAAACTTGTGGAAGCATCTTTACTAGATTGCATATGTATTTCTTATTAAGGAATTGTGGGGATAACTTAAATTAAAAGTTACATTTCCTTATACCTTATAGTCATAGAAGAATGTCTATGAAGTGAAAAAGTAAGACAGCCTTTATACAATTATAAGGATGATATACACTAGTTTAAAATGGTTGTGAATGGTTGAAAGCCAATTATGGCATTTGTTTGGGTATGCAAAAACAAACTATAATACTTTGATAATATTCATAAAAGTTGAAATGCATTACGATGTTCAATAAAATATTGAACACTCATGATTTTGAAATACACTAGTCAATATGATTGATTTTCTTAAATAGAAATCATCCAACCATAAGTGGAAATTGATAAAGCTTTACATAAAGCTAGTGAGAAACATATGGTTTCGTAAAAAGATTTCTTAATAGGTGGCAATTTGTATCTATTAAATGAATCGATCATTTGCTAGCTTAATTTAATAAAATATTAATTCATATGTCTAGACACATGAGTTTAAGACATGATTATATAAGGAAATTAACTAAGAGGAATAATTTTCCTAAATCATGTAATGTCAATCGAGAACTTGACGGATACTTAATCTAAATCTCTAAATAGAGATATCCACTTCGAGTAGGATATGGTTAAAACTCTTAAACCAAAAGATCCACCAATGATGACAACCCTACCTGTCATTACTCAAAAGGTAATCCACGGGTTCAAAGGCTAACAACAAGTCATTTGATATGTGGATAGTTTCAGCATTATAAAATTCGCGATAACCTTATCGTAGTTATTATAATGCTGGTTGTTACTGAAGTAAATGATGAGTTTTAAACACTTAATGAAGTTTAGTACTAAGTACAAGTATCTTTAAAAGTAATAAAGATACATGAAGAATGTCACCTAAATAAACTTCGAGGTTGTGCTGCCTCAATAGAAAGTTAGAGTTTCTCTCTTAAAAGTTTGTTGAAAATGATGAGCGCAAGGCCATATTAGTGCTAAGCGAGTTAAGGAATTTGAGAACACGTGATACTCGTGCGTGTACTCTAACCGGTATTGTCATATGGAATAACTGGTTCAAAGTTTCATGCTACCTTTGATTCTGACATTACTTTGTTTGAATTACACTATGATTAGATTCAAATCGAAAGATATATAATTCTTATGCATAAGTATTGTATATTTTTGAATATGAGATTTTATTGAATTTTGAACAAGTGGGATATTGTTGATATTGTGGTTCAAAACAATAAAAATGAGACTTAGAATGAGAAATTGATCTAATGGCCGCATGAGTTAACCATGCGGCTGCATGGCCATATACCGATACATTTTGTCCCAGTATGTTTTGTATCATGCGGCAAATTTTCGACCTTTTTTTAGCCATTTTCATCCGTTGTGGTTTTGAATTTGGTGCCTTTTGAAGATATTTCAGCACCATTTCGTACACATTTTCTGAGTGTTATATATAGATGATCATATTTCTTGTAAAGAGGTTGAAAAAACATAACAAGTATAAGATTCATTCTAAAATGAAAAGAAACAACTTATTTCTTTTTCCATATTCATATTTCCCTCCTTATGTTCTCAAGTTTGGATAGAAATACTTTGTGCTCTAGTATTTCTACAATAATGCTTGATTAATCCTCCAAATCATTTGTCGGAAGACCTTTAAGTATCAAAATTGTATTGGAGAGGGGCAAATGTCGTTTAAGGACAACGTTTATCGTGTTTGAGCCTTTTATGTCATTAAAGTTCTTGATTACTTGCATTGGTTACTTTCAAGTTTTTGTGTGGAAGATCAAAGTCTACAAAGGGAGAGACTACAATATGCATTAATATGATATAAGTTTATCATCTTTTTTTAGTTATTTCCATTGTTAAATTTAAAGGTTCGTCATGGTTTTGTTCATTTTGTTGCTGGTCACAGTTGTTGATTTCTTCTCCATTTCCTCTCTTAGTGAAAATATTCCCAACATTTTATAGGCTTGAGGAGTTACAAGTTAAAAGGTATCAATTCGAGAAATAATGTCAAAATTGAAACTAAAGGAATTACAATATAATCTATGATATAATAATCCAGGGATTATGGGTATTCCTACTGTAATATTTGGAATTAAGGTTGAGAGCTTATGGACGCCCATAATTTACTACATTAAGATAGTTTATAAAAAGCTTAAGCTTGTTGTGTGTAAAACGTCCTTACGTTTCAATTTTTTGCATTCTCACCTATATTTTCATGTTTCATTGCGGAAAAAGTCATTTTCACCAATTTTTAATGTAAAATGACCAATATACCCTATAATTCAAATAAAATAAAAAAGAAAAAGAAAAATAAAAAAATTGTAATTATATTCTCAAACTTTTTAAAAAGTGCAAATCAGTCCAATAAATTATTAAAATATTAAAATTTTTAAAAAATGTTCTCTTTCTCTCCTTCCTCCACCTCCTCCCTCCGCCAGTGTTGAAGCCAAAACACTCCGACCAACCACCACCCAAACCATCGAACCTCCATACCACCGGATAGGCCATGATCGAAGGAGTGGACTGATTGTGACAACAAGAATATCACCCACCACTTGAAATAACAGCCCAATACACCTAGGTAATTTCCTCAATCTAGCAATTTCTTGATCATTTGCACCACCCAAAACAGCCCCGAAACCACTGATCCGTCCTTTAAAGCAGTAGTTTTGTGTATGTGAATGAACTCCAACTGGTCCAATCCAACATCGGAATTCTCTTCAGAACATATATCAGCAACCTGGCCGCCAATTAATCCTTCAGCATCGACACACTCAGCCAATTCACCAATCACCCTCACAATCCTCTCAAAAGGCACACTTTTTGTGGCAATGGACACGTACTCAAAGGCAAACAAAAAAAGTACATCACCAGCCAAAACTGCCACATCTTCCCCAAAAATCTTATGATTCTTTAGCTTCCCGCGCCTCATAAGATGCAATACATGCCATTTTCTTGCTTTTTCTGAACTGAAAACGAATTAAACCCTATAAATTGTATATCTCTATAATTATGTGAGAAAATATATAGAGAAGATGGATTGATGTAGTGTAATTTTTGAGGAGAAGAAAACAAAACCCTAACTAGAAGTAGAAATTGGGGTTTTTGACCTTTTGAGTTTTACAGAACCTTGATATCATCAAATTCCTAAAGCCTTCGTGCCTCTACACATGGAGAGATTTGGGGGAGGTGGAATGGTGTCTACCGACCATATCCATTCACTGAATTACATATATACACAATCTGCTATCAACTCAGCACTGCGCTACTAATTCTAAATAGGAATTGAACAAAAAATTCACACTGGGTATTGATCCAATTCAGTAGAGGAGGCGGTGGGAGGAGGAGGTGAGAAGAGAAGAGAGATATAATTTCTTTCTTTCTTTCTTTCCTTTTTTTTTTT